CTGCAAAGATGGGCTCAAACACAGCAAGGAGTCCAATGATGGCAACACACTAGGCAGTTTTTTTCTGCTCTACATAGATTTGCTGTGAAATGAATTCTAACTTGATAGTACCTAACAACCATCTTGTTTTTAATGTTTCTTTTACTACAATATAAAGTCCAAAAGGTCAGGGGTTTTATCTGTATCAACATGCACTTGGAAGACACTCATTAACATCAGGTATAAACACAAACTGTTCCCAGAAGATGTGAATTTAACAAAGATGACCAGATTTCTGCTTGGTGGAAAGGAAACTCTTGATAGTCCAGATCCTTTAGAAATGTGAAACTGTAGAGTCTGACCTGATATACTCTTCTAATGCTACACATGAATGTAACAAAACATGAAGCCCACTGCCACTGTGTGCATTCTGACCCCTAATGACTCTATAGGACTGAACACACTGCTGCTTTAGTTCTCAGAATTGTAGATCTTTACAAGAGCAGACAGTCTCCTTTTCCTCCACTGGAGTCGCTGGTTGGTTTGAACTGTCATACTTGCAGTTAGCAACCAAATGTTTAAACCAATGTGGCACCAAGGCTTCTTAGACCCCAGCACGATGATTTTTTTTTTAAAGGAGGGGCTTACCATACAGCAATGATGCATTGACATACCTTTGAGCCACTGTACTAACCAGTAAAAACAATATACCTCAATAACTGTTAAGGAAGAAGCACGAGGACCTCACAAGGAAAGCAGTCAGAAACAGGAAGAATGTCTGCCACAAGAAGGATGGTGCCTGGCCACCACGACCCAGCATGTGGATTCAAGACTCCACAGAAGACTCCTAATCAAGAAGGGGAAAGCGAATAGAACCGCAAGTCCTCACAGTTTAGATATTATGAAGTCACAGAGACTGAAAGAACCCGAGATAATCTTTAAATCTTAAACCTTAAAATAGGCCCTGAGGTAATCTTAAAACTGAAAAAGACCTGCTTTGAACTACCTAAGTGGGATCAGCCTGGCAACAATCAACTTAATATATTAGATAGGGACTTTAAGGGGCAGTGAACTCCCTATGAGACATGCCATCCCTCACTGACTCATAGCCCTACAGGGGACAACAATGGAGACACAGTGTGGGAATTGTGCCC